TACGCAGACTGTTATTTTACAGAGTACTCAGACTTTGTTATTTTACAAAGTACAAATACTTTGTTATTTTACAAAGTACACAGGCTGTTATTTTACAGAGTACAAGTACTTTATTAATTTAGAGAGTACACAGACTGTTAATTTACAGAGTACTCAGACTCTGTTATTTTACAAAGTACAAATACTTTGTTATTTTACAAAGTACACAGACTGTTATTTTACAGAGTACCCAGACTGTTATTTTACAAAGTACAAATACTTTGTTATTTTACAGAGTACGCAGACTGTTATTTTACAGAGTACTCAGACTTTGTTATTTTACAAAGTACAAATACTTTGTTATTTTACAAAGTACACAGACTGTTATTTTACAGAGTACACAGACAATGAAACTTTACAGAGTACACAGACTCTGTTACTTTACAAAGTACAAGTACTTTGTTATTTTACAAAGTACACAGACTGTTATTTTACAGTGTACTCAGACTTTGTTATTTTACAAAGTACAAATACTTTGTTATATTACAAAGTACACAGACTGTTATTTTACAGAGTACAGACTGAAACTTTACAGTGTACACAGACAATGAAACTTTACAGAGTACACAGACTCTGTTACTTTACAAAGTACAAATACTTTGTTATTTTACAGTGTACTCAGACTTTGTTATTTTACAAAGTACAAATACTTTGTTATTTTACAAAGTACACAGACTGTTACTTTACTTTTGTTATTTTATTTGAGTTTGTTACTACTAAAAATGGAATTACTTTAGTTATCTGTACTTTACTTAAGTAATTATTTTTCACTTGAGTTTTTAACTTCTCTGTACTTTCATCCAACTGAACCCTCAGCTAAAACAGCNGACAGAGGACAGAGGACAGATAACAGATGACAGATGACAGAGGACAGAGGACAGGAGGACAGACAGAAAACCCTGACAGATCCTAAGGAAGTTTGGAGAACTACTTCACCAGGAGGACCACAGGTGTGAAGTAACAAAGTACAAATACTTTGTTATTTTGCAGAGTACACAGACTTTGTTACTTTACAAAGTACAAATACTTTATTACTTTACAGAATACACAGACTGTTATTTTATAGAGTACTAAGACTCTGTTATTTTACAAAGTACAAATACTTTGTTATATTACAGAGTACTCAGAATTTGTTATTTTACAAAGTACAAATACT